TTTTTTTCCCTGCCATTTACCCAAAGGAGAAAACAAAACCCTTTCATTATCTTTTAACATTACATAAAAATGATCTTAGAAAAAGAAAACCGAATTTCAAGTTTGCATTAGCGCATCTTTAATGCTAAAGCTGGTTTTTACATAAAATTGTGTATATCTATCCAGTTTTAATCAGTTTGACCATAAGGTAAGATTTTCATAAACTTTTTAGAATGCTTTATAACTTTCCATCAAACAGCAGATCCATTTTCTAAGAAAACCCTGTTATTTGGACACATGGGCCCAGATTCTGGCCCCACATCAGTATGATTTGAATTTTTTAACCTATGGAAAAATGCTAAATAATTTTTTTTAGCTCTTGGCCAACTTGTTTATACCCACAGAATTTTTTACAAGATCAACCCTTTACAAACCCTTTTCACTTTGCTTAAATCTTTAGTTTTGTCCCGTTACTCTTTTAGGTTAAGACAGTCTTTAAAACCCTCGGGCCCGGCACAGTGGCTCACGCTTGTAATCCCAGCACTCTGGGAGGCCGAGGTGGGCGGATCACAGGGTCAGAAGATTGAGACCATCCTGGCCAACATGGTGAAACCCCGTCTCTTCTAAAAATATGAAAATTAGCTGAGCATGGTGGCGCACACCTGTAGTCCCCTACTCAGGAGGCTGAGATAGGAAAATTGCTTGTCCCGGAGGCAGAGGTTGCAGTGAGCCAAGATCGCGCCACTGCACTCCAGCCTGGTGACAGAGCGACACTCCATCTCAAAAAAAAAAAAAGAAATCCTCAGAACTAGACAAAATTACATTCCCTTTAACAAAAGCCATATTCCTATGCCTTCTTATAATCTTTTACCAAAAACACATTCCCTACACACCTTGTATTTTTTAAAACTGTTTCTCCAATGGTCTCAATTACATGTTACAATATTAACTCTTAGCGACTTTTATTTTTGGTGAAAACTCTGATAAGTAAGAGATTTTAATTATGTATTGGGGTGGAGCCTAGGACATTAGACAGAAATGAAGATAAGGTCTGACTTTTTAGCATAGCTAGCGGGCATGGTTCTCTATATGTCCCCAGGCCTTATATATTATCTAAGCCTCCAAAGTAGGTAAATCAAACAATTTTCAAAAGTCAAAGAAACAGTTTGACCTTAAAGCATTTAGCAAATCTGATATCTGACCTTAATTTAGGACAAATGTCTACATTTTCAAGACAACTTATTTTACCAATAATCTTTAAAACTGTCCTTATTTCCAAAAGATTACTAAAGCCATGTGAACAAAAAGGCGTTAAAGTTTCTATTTTTCTGACAAAATATTTTATTTAAGCCCTTTTTTTCTAAGCCAATTAATCAGAGCTCTTTTATGTATAAACGTCACACACACATATACACAGACACACAGACACACACACACCTCACATGTAAATACAGACAGACAGACAGAAGATTGGGCACTTGTAAGATTTTTTCTTTTGCCAGTTCCTTAATTGGATGACTAGCTTCAGGGTGGAGCCCTTGCAGGAACAGAGCTGGGAGGGCATGCGTTTCTAGGACCAAATAAGTAACAAATAAACAGCTGAAGGCAAAGACAGATCTCCAAAGTTAAAGATGCCATTTTACACTAGTTTCTGGATCCCCAAAGGGAGGGAAATACTCCAGAAGAAGACAGTGCAGTGCTTTTACGGACTGTGCATTTCATTACAAGGCAACCCAAAGCCAATCAGCCCATTTTGTAATCAGCCCATCCTCATGAGAGTCTCATCTCCCAATGAGGGGTGAGGATGTTGCCTTATCTTCCAGGTGGCCAAGAGCGTGCTTCTCTGATCCAAGTGTGAAGAGTCAAGTATCCCTCCATACTACTGTTAACCACCCCTTAAAGTATATTTCCTATCTAGTTATTACACACCAAAACTCTCTCATAATGCAGAGTGATTGCTTATACCCCCCAAACTCAAAACCGTCAGATAACTCAAAATCGTCAGATAACGTGCAAAACAGAACAGACCCTTTGATTTTGACAGGGATCTATCCACTTTGGCTGTATCCAATTCCTGGGGTTTCATGAGGAAAACAGTGTTTTCCTCCCCCCTCAAAACGCGGTCTCTGGTGCCTCCTCTGTTTTTCCCAATGAGTCCTAGGCTACCAGAAGTTATCTTAGGGCCTCTCATGTGCCTTAAGGATGACAAGACCAAAAAAAAAAAAAAAAAAAAAAAAAAAA